TTTGAGCAGCCAACATGTGTTGCCAGTTCTCGGGTGGTTTGGCGTGGATCCAAATTAATGACGGTCTTCAACACTTGGTTATCGACGAATTGAAGCCGACTTCCATGTTCTTCGTCCTCCAAGCTTTCATTACCGTCTTTGAAACGCTGATGCCATCGTCGACACTGGCTTTCTGACAGGGCTTCTTCGCCGTATACTTTAGATTTGACATGATGAGATTCAGTAGCAGGTTTTCCTTGCTTTAAGTTGTACCACATGCAAGCCCGCAAAAGGAATTTTTGGTCAAGCACGTTTTAAGCTTTTTTTACCTCGAAAAAACAAAGTAGACATAGCCAAAAATATATCAAAAGACACGCAATGAAAATCTCTTTCTGATAGACAAAACTGTTTTGAGAAATCTCCTTTAGTAGTGGAGAAATGAATGGACGAAGTCAACGCGCATTCCTTTCCGAACAACCTAATATTTCAATTGCTAGTTGTCGTGAAGGGAAAAAATAAAACTGAAGAAAATTGCACGCGCAAAGCCCTTTCCGCCAACCTAATATATAGGGGGGATTTACAGGAGATGGTAAATGCAAGTATACTGTGAAATAATCAGTTTTCTCAAAAGCAGAATCGAAGGCGATTGACCAGCGATCAGAGGGACCCGAAGATCAGCACTTCCTTCTTACATTTAGACATCTAACTTGCATTATGCAAGTGTCTTCATTGCTTGGATTATACATGATTTTCACGGAAAATAGCTGTACTTCACTATGAAAATGAGCCATCGAATATACCACACACTCAGAACTGTTCAAGACTTACTGCTTTATCTTGTTCCATTTTCACCCTTGCTTCTTGTAGTTCCTTCTCCAGACAGGTAATCTTTTCTTCGAATGCTGTTATGTACTCGAGGTGCTGCACCTGAAACAGACACACGCTACTCTCACAGGTCAAATTAGGATATAAAAAATGGCATAAAAAGAAAGTGCCTCTGAAACTTCAAGAGACAGGGGAACCTGCCTTATTGATCACTTCAAGTGAATTCTTCCTGCTTTCAGACGAGTTGGACTCTCCTTCTAATACTTTTTTGCACACCTCCTCCCACTTTGCTCTTCCGGACGATCGCTCAAGCTCAAGCTATAATAGGATCACCATCACTGAGAATAAGGAGAAAGTTATGCACAAGTTTTTAATAACAGAATCGCTTGCGTTTCTGTCAAGCCGCTCACCTCCTCTTTGAGATGCTCCAGCTCCTTTTTCACAGCAGTTGTCTCCTGCAGACCGAATCGGGCGTTGTCGAGCTCAGATCGAGCAGCGAACAATTCTTCCTCCAACCGGTTGATTCTTTCCTGTGTTTCACCGAAGTCTACTCTTTGACTAGCCATATTCGCTTCGTTGTCTGTCAGCTGAACTCGCGCAGCAGCCAACTCCTCCTCCAACTCCTGCGTTATCCTTTGAGCGACTTCCAGCTCGCTCCTTGTCTTTCGGAGGTCCTCTTCAATCGCCGCAGACTGAAATTTGTTTATAAATGTGTATTTGCCTTTATGCTTGTAGTTGATCGAGGTTATTTGAAAAACGACAATGGTTAGGAGATAAAAGGAAGGAAGGGCTTTTGGTGTTAACCAATTTCGTCTGAGGGATGCGCTCCCGCACTCGATTTCCATTCAGAATCGTAGTAGCGTAATGAGTGCGTATGCGGCCCATACAATGACTTGGGGTGGCCAGCCGATGTACAAGTCAGGGCTTTTATCCTCCCAGACGAGTCTGGTACCGATTGACCGACCCTGGGGGGATGGAAGGCTTGTATGGCCTAGGTGGGCATCGATCCGGGATTCGAACCCTTGACCGTGCGTGCGAGATAGTGCGTCACTTGCCACTACACCACCTCCGTCCGTGAAGACGACAATTTGTTCGAAACGTCGACCAATAAAGCAGTTAAACCATAACAAAGCTGTACGGCAGAGCAGTACAACACATGTAAAATGCTCAGGTTTCAAGAAGATCGAACGTGGAAGTTTTAATGTGATGTACCGCTGCACGTATTCGGTTTTGTTTGTGAGGCCTTGCCCTTCGACAGGCAATCAACAACCGTTCTCAATTACATCTCGGCAATGTCCTTTCAAGATGTTCAAGCGGATTCCAATTTTTTAGGTTGATACGAAAGTTTCGAGATGCAAATTTACATGTGCTGTCGTTTCTCTATGAGAACTTTGCCGCCCTCGGACCATCGCAACATAAAAAACAATATCGGAGCTACCACTTACAATATACATATGTATGTACGTATAGGTTTTCGAGTGCTCTACTCTTGTGAACCTTGTAGCCACTCGCGCAAGATCAACCACGGGCAATTACCTTCTACAAAAAGTCAGGCGATTCCATTGAACTATCTGCTGCCTCTAACATCAACACTGCAATCGGAGAGGACCCACCAGTCGTGTGACCATACTGTGGGCCGTCTATTCAGTCGCTTTCATTCTGGAGATACGGTGCTCGACGATGATTTCCGTTCGGAAGAGCAGCTACTATTGAGGATGACCGACTTCACAGCAAAGCAAAGAAGAGGCCGGAGGCAGAACATAAAGAAACCTCACGAGTGTCATAGGGGTAACGTTGCCTGACATCTTCACGAAACCGTTGTTCAAAAGTTCTGGCTCGGTGGATTCCGCACTAACTGAATACGTGTGTCTCGTCGATCCTTCTCATCCCCAATCGGAATGAGTTTTTGGAGGACATGGTGATTAGAGATGAAGACTGTTTCCTCTACACATTGTGTATGACATTAACGAACGGGTCGCTATCTGTCTCCTACAGAAGAATATCTGCTCGTGCGACCTATGACAGAATAGCACCCGGAAAGGATGGGCTTTGTAGCTTTTACGACACGAAGAGAAAGCTATACTATGACTTGCTTTCCCTGAGGCATGACTGTCAATGCTACCATCTACAGCACTAAGATCCAGTAATCTCTCAAGCAGTGGAAAAAAAGCGACCGAGATCGGTCTCAGTTTATCTTCTCCACGGCCGCTCGGCCAGACGTAGCAAAGGCCACACAATCCATGTTACAAGAACTTGCCTGCAAGGCTGTCCTTTCAGACTTACACCTTTTCAGGCACCGCACACAATCCCCTGCCTGAAACAAGTGGGTTGCCTTCGGAAATCGCAGACGCTGTGCTAACTTCTTTGACTACCGCCCTCCTCTACTTGGGAGAAAAGAATAGTCGGCTTTTCCCTCCTTGGATGAATGCCACAAGTAACAAAGTGAATTTCAAAAGAAAAAAGTCGTATTCGAGTATTTCAAGACTTTTGTATCAACCTTATATATTGTTGCGTGAGTTTACCGGCCGACCATGCCGGCCAGTACCCTGCCGAGCATAGGTTCATTGCCTCTAAATTGGGGGCATTCCCACTCTCACTCTGATGTACGGCAGAATATGTAAAGTTCACCAACCTTTTCCTCCCGAGCGGTCTCTTCATGTTCTTTCCCTTCCAATGTTTTGCAAATCTTTTCATACATCTCTCGTAAACTGAAAAAAACACCAATCGGAACTTTGACTCATCGGAACAACTCCGAACTCGTACCCTTCCTTTTCTTCCTCAGTTTTCTTGAGATTAAGCGTTAATGTGTCAGCCTTTGTCATCAGTTCGAAATTTGTGCATCGTATCGCATCCAATTCCTCTGCTACCTCGGCGGATTTCTTCTTGACCAGCTCCATTTCCTCTCTCAAAGCGTTCATCTGCGCTGTTTCACTGCGGAGGCGAGCTATTTCAGCGTCTTGCTCAATTGCTGAAAAAAGATACTTTAAAGGCATCCACCACTCAGATTCTTAGCTTATAAATTCACCTCGGCTCCTCAACTGCTCTACTTCGGCATTAGGGTATGTTTGTCCTGGTGGATTGTTTCCGCTAAACCCATGGTCTCCTCTGCTTTCAAAAGATGAGCTTCTCCTTCTTGACAATTCTTCTTGAGCGGCGTGCAGCTCGTCCAGTAATCGAGCCGCCTCTGTAAATTGAACTGCTCTTGAAGTGCAGGATTGTGAAGGTGAAAAAACGTGAAAATAGGACTATGCACGAGGGTTTCGTTGGATACACTTCGTGATATTAGGTTTCATAACCAAAGCACTTTCACAATCACAAGCATGGCTTAATCCAGAAGTTTATTTTACCTTAACAACATTCCGCCACAAGCTCGATTTTCTACAATGGTCATTCGGAAGAACCCTTCTGTGTTAATTTCCCAAAATGTCAAAGGAATCAATTTAAAGTCTGGGCAATTCCAAAAATTCAAAAGCGGTTTAAGGCTGCGTTAGATTTGTTAATCCCAGGTACATGGTTTCAGTTACAACTGCACTATCTTGTTTTTTGTGACGAGCTTTTCATGCTCCTCGTAGTTTTTTCAGAAAAGTAGGAAATTGAAACGTGATCAAGAAAGCAAGGCCCTCTTTAGATTTTGGTTAGTTGGTACCATAAATGGGCGCATAAAACGGCGATGAACCACTTTCAGCCAGGACTTTCACAGACATTAATCAGACAGGTAATTTTGACCTGACCGACATTACATTGCTCATAGATTTTAATCGGAACCACAGTAAATCATGCTCACAATTCTCTCGGAAACACTGAAAACCGTGCTGTTTCAACATATGCCTGAATCACTTGGATTGCTAAGAGTCTAGCGTTTTCTTATAGACATGAAATGGGTGTTAAACCCGACGATCAAAGATAAACTGTAGGTATGTAGTATAAAAGAAAAAAGAAACAGTCGTATTCCCTCTCACCGTCATATTTGCAGTTTTTTCAGTTTCAGAAAGTCACATTTGTTATCGAGCTCGACATCTACGCTGCTTCGCTCTAATGATGAGACTTTCCGTCTATCTTATCTAATCTTATCGTTTATAAATTCTCTGTGATGACCAAAATACTGGGAAAAGTTGGCATATAAGGTGAATACAGAGTGATTCATGGCGATAAAAATTTCTTCTATCAAATACGACTTCCCTCATCTTCTTTTGCTTACTTTTATGATGGAAAAGCTCGAGAAGATGGAATCAGCATAAAATTTAATGCGCCATGGAGAAATAAAACTAAGAAGGTAAGAGATGGTCACCATACCACTTTTCACACATGCGTTCACCTTTTGGTTATGAAACTGTTGCAGATTTAGTACTGGAAGAGGTAATTGAAGTAAAGAAAGACCGTACTAATCTCATTTCACCCCAGAAAACTGCTCGAAAGAAGTTAGATTGAACAAATCCCTTGAGCTTTTTGAATTTCTAGATCTCTTTCGCCTTCTTATCCATCATGTGTACCAAACTTTCCCACAAACCATACAGACTATTCCCATACTACTCTCATTTCATAAGCGTGACTGTTTCGTCTTGAAAGCACAGTTTACAATGGAAGTGATTTCTGAGATTTCTGCCTAAGATGAACATGTGACTCCCAGGGATAGCACAGGGACGCTGCCGGGACGCAC